GAGAGAGAGAGAGAGAGAGAGAGAGAGAGAGAGAGAGAGAGAGAGAGAGAGAGAGAGAGAGAGAGAGAGAGAAAGAGAGAGAGAGAGAGACTGCAAAAACAGAAACAACGCAGCAAAAACAGTTATTGTTTTCATCTCTCCGCAAATCTCTCTCTCTCTCTCTCTCGCGCGCGCGCGCATAACTCTCTTTGCTGCTTTGTTTTCGTTTCTCTTTTTTCACAAATTGTTTTTCTTTTTTCTTTTTATTTCCAAAGAAGAATCTTGTTGTTTTTTCTTCCTTTTTTCTCACTTTTCTTTTTGCCTAGGAGATGCCTCTACATGTGAAGGAAAAAGGGAAGACAAAGCAGATGCATGTACCTGTTGATACCGATATTGACAGAATAATTTTCGCAGATCTTTCCAGATCACAAGTCTGTTCATTCCAACAGTGTAGCCTTCATTGTGTGTACAGACGGCAGCTTTGGAAGACCTCACTGGGCACGGTGGTTTAGCAAAAGGACACGGAACAACAAGGAAAAGAACACCATTTCCTCGAGTGCCGTTTTGCTTGATGCCTGGTTCATCTGGAGAAGAGCATTTGAATGGGGTATAACTCCACATGCCAGACAGACGTAGGACAAATTTCGCAGGTGGATTGTGATAAAAGATTCGCAAAGAAATGGACGAGATCAGGGAACCGGACAGATTCTCTCCTCGAGCTTCATGGAATCGATTGTTTGTATGTACACCACCTGAGGAGCTATTCGTTACATAATACTGGGGACTTACTTCCCCCTTCCCGCCACCGCCTTTGACACCCCATGCTTCTTAAATCACGAGTACTTCCGTGCCACGTCTGGCCCAGTCTCCAAACTCCCTGTGCGCCAAACAAAAACGCCCCCGTGTGGCCCTCGTTTTTGGCTTCTTCACCCTGCCAGCCATTTTGCTCTGGCTGCCGATCACTGAAAAAGTTGTGGGCGCGTGCAAAGGGCGCATCAGAGTGAAATGGCTGGGAAACGTACCGGTGGTTGGAACCATGAGTGCTGGTACCCGCCCTCCCAAGCTTGTGGCAGTCCTACGGGGAGGCCGCAAAAAGGTTCGGCCTACTGCAGGGGGTAGGTACCACAGGGTTTGCACACGATTCGGAGTTGTCGGCCATTTTTCAATTTCTTTATTAGCACCTCGTCGTTGACGAAAACCCCCAAAACTAATACTTTTGCCCATTTTTCAATCCTGATCTCCTCGTTGATGAAAAACTCCGAAAAGAATCAAGGATGTAGGGTGCATTCTACTGTATCAGAGACGATAAATGGGAAAAAACAATAACAAGAACAACAATTGTCAACAAAAAACAAGAAACAAGAAACAAAAAACAAGAAACAAGAAACAAGAAAAGAAACAAGTTTTTGGCGCCTGACTTCTCGCCCACAGAAACACAATTTCAAGGCAGACTTTACGTTCCCCGCCCAGAAGAGCCTGAGTTGATCAATTTTCAATGTGTAAATAGAGGATATATATTATATTATATAATATATGTAGATTAAAGGTAAAAATCGACTGCCTTCCAAGCAGGGGGTATTATATATATATAGATTAAAGGTAAATCGACTGCCTTCCAAGCAGGGAGTATGGGTTCGAATCCCGTAGTATCCGCAATTGCTTTTGATTTGACGGGAAAAAAAAAAAAAAAACACTTTTCACTGAACTGAATCATCTGAATGCATTTGTCGATCACCCCCGTGGATTTGGTGTTTCTGGCTGGGCAGGCCAAGGCTAGTGTGGTGTTCTTTTTTCGGTTAAACAAAGCAGGCTCCGTGGCAGTGGTGCTTTATGTCAGGGCTCCCTCTATTGTCATCTGTCACATATTCTTCCCGGTTTTGCATAAATTTGATGTTAAAACTCCCTCTCTCTCTCTCTCTCTCTCTCTCTCTCTCTCTCTCTCTCTCTCTCTCTCTCTCTCTCCCTCTATTGTCATCTGTCACATATTCTTCCAGGAATTAAGGCCTTTCGATCCACCCGTCTGTGAACTTTGGGGGACTGTGGGCCTGTATCCAATATACAGCACTCAATATGCATTTGGGACTCTTTCTGGCCCCGCACATTCAAAATGTTGTTGGACTGGTCGAAATGCATCTGGTCCAGAAAGCGTCCAAATGCATGTAGAATGTTGTGGAGTGGCACGAGTCCCCATGTCTATTGACACTGTATGGCCCCATGCATTCAAAATGTTGAACATGTCCGAATGCATCTGGTCCAGAAAGTGTCCAAATGCATGTAGAGTGCTGTGTAGTGGAGCGATGCCCTATGTCTATCACATATTTCCAGACCAACTCTCTCCAGACTTCTCAGACCGTTACTTCGCCATTCGTCATTACCATAA